TACAGTTACAAGAAAGAGCAATCAATTAACCTTTAAAGCTTAAGAGAACCTCTCTGTACAGTAATACTGCTTAATCATTCATTAAACTCATGAGAATGAAGGAAATTATTGCCAACTTTAGAAGTTCTTTGATTGTGAAACAAATTCTCTTTGTCACAATCAAAAGAAATGTACAGAGAAGAGTATGGAGAATTAAGATACTGATGTGAGGTTGTAAAGGGATTAATGATACATTTCTCTATTTTGTCTGAACAAAAACAAAATTATTCAAAAAATCTTGGACCAAGGAAAAAATTTGAACTACCATGATAAAATTTATTTATAGCTAAAACTAATACATCTCAAGTCCCTAGTTAAGGTAATGCAGATTAAGAACAGAGGAATGGTTGTTTGTAATTTCACAGCAACGAGATTTTCTCCTTGGAATGTGACAATAAGGAAGCCCTTTACTGAAACCTGACATAAGTTATTCAGTCAGCATATTATCAGTCATCCAAATTTGTTTATTTGCCTGCAGGTACTAAAGATTTTGTGTTATGTTGGAAGCAATGGTCATTCTGAGTTCAGAAGTGCATTGCGGCATAAAGCTGATGTTGTCAGAGAAACTGAAAGTGAGGACTGGTGAATAAATTTACAGTTTGTTTATTACAGTGTATATTATTTTCGTGGTCCAGTTGAAGCTGGCCACAATGCTCGTTAGAAGTTCTTCTGGAAAACACAGTTTTCCCTCACTTCAGGATTGTGTGATCAAATCATAAACCAGTAATAAAGTAAAAAATGTTATGATGTGTTATAATTGCAATAACCTTCAGAATTTTATTCCTTTGTAGGTTTTACTGGTCAATTAGATCATCTACAGGGCGATGCCCTCAATCAACGAGTTAGAGCTGCTGCGTCAGTAAGTTATAAAATTTGCAAAATTAATTCTCATAAGTAATTGAATAATGATACTTGTCATTCACACATTAACTATAATTTACAAGTGCCAGGGCTTGATACTAACTTTTCAATGTTCTATTCTACATATACATGACAACTTAGATGTTATCGCAATTTCAGTTTGTTTACTAGCCAAACTGGCAAGTGGAAATTGAAAACCACAAGCTAAAACTAAATTTCTACAAGTTAGTGGCTACTGTAATTGGTTACCATCAGTGTTGAGCCCTGAGTGCAGTAATCAATCGACAGATACAGAGGGATTGCTGTAGGGGCCAGCTATTCTTGGCAAAAAGAAATACAACACAACAAATTGTTTGCATCCAGATTCGTTGTATTCCAGTAAAAAACAACCACAACAATTTACACGAGGAAGTATCAGGGGAGGATTCAAAGTTATTGCTTCTTACTGGATAGCCCATACATTCTTAGCTTAAAACCAAACTCTGCAAAAACAGCAAAAACTATAAGCAGTACACATGGCATGGTAAACTGTGCCATTGGTATATTGTCAGCAGTGCTATAGACTATAAGAAGATTCACCTAATCATACAATTACAATATTACCCTTATTTACGAATTCATCAATAACTAAGTGTTTGCATTTTCTGATTTTCACTATGATTACTGACTTTTTTGTTAGTGTCTATAATGACTAGTTGTTGTTGTTAGTTACCATTAGATAATGGTTAGTTACTATGATGATTTAATTTTATCATCTAATTCCCCAATGTTGATAATTATTGTGTTGTCTTTAGGAATTAATTGGACTTCTCTTCAATGTTGAGAGCAGTGGAAAGTCAACCATGCATGGTAAGTAAAAGAAATGGGGGACTGGTTGAAGTGATGGAGGAGGGCTTGTTTGAAAGCCAGGGTTCTGAGCTCCACATTTTCTTAAGAGGCTAATGGGTAACCTTGAATCAAAATAAGATCACTAGGAAAAAAATTCAGAAGTCCAAAATAAAAGTGAGTGTGGGTAGTATTGCATGATGTACTACTGGAATGGTTTATCCATATAACTTTTCTTGTTGAAATAAGCAATGTGGCTGGAAATTATTTCTATGAGTTTCTGTAACATCTTAGACAAGCAAGGAGAGAGATGAAAGTTTTTGCTTTTAGGAAACAATTTTAACATTATTAAATAGTTAGCATGGCACTAACTTTAGGCCAAAAACTCTTAGTGATAAATTTGTTATGGCTAGATTTATGATCACCATACCCAGTTCACCATTTTATTGACTTCCATAATTGCAAAAAATTGGTGGCCAAAGTTTTTCTGTCTCCTAGGTAATCAAAATGGTCACAACTTTGAGAAATTGACTGAATTGAATGTATCAGATATCAGCAACAGGGAAAACAAAATAATGATTAAGGAATTAAAGCTTGTAACTCACTGAAGATAAGTGTTAGATGGTTTTCAATCCTAATTTGTAATTAGTATCTCAACATTTTTCAGTTGTAAAGGCATCTTTTGAAATCAAAATGGAGAAACTAAAATGGAGTGGTTTAATCCAATGGGAGAGAAATGAAATGATGTGATACAGACTTATTCATCTGTAACCAGCACTAACTTGTTAAAGATTTAACTCTGACTGATTATTTTCAAAAAATGTAGCAATGATGGGACCAACAGGAAAGAAGATGGAAGGATTTGGAAACTCACCTTCTCAACAGCCAAGTAAGAACTAGCATACTCTTCATTGCAGTTATAGTTTGAGCCCTAAATTCATTAGGAATGACTTTTCATTAAACAAGGAACAAAGCTCTCCACAAATCGAACTCAATTTTCCATTGCATATGGTCTTTCTTACCATAAAGTTGATTTCAAAAGTTTCTGAAATTAAGGGGAACACTCAGCCAACAAGTACAGCAAATGAAACACAGTTTTCATATTGTGTAGAATGTAATCATTAAATGTAGGAATGAAGGCTGAAAGTTTTTAAAGAAACTGTGGTGCTGTGTCGGTGGGGCAACAACTGAAGGTAATTTGGTTATATCAACTAAGTTGAAATTGTAAATTGGCCACCGTAACGAATTAAAAAAGCTGATGTTTCGAGCGTTAGCCCTTCATCAGAGTGAATGCAGGAATTGTGGGTTGTATGTGGGTTTATGTGCAGAAAGCGGAGCTACGCCATTGGTGGGAACATGGCGACGAGAAAAACACAAATAAGTTAGTGGAATGAAAAGTGTTTTTTGATACCTGTGGGATTAAGAGTGCTGATTTGAAAGATAAACTTTTGTTCAAGAGTTTTGCGGCTTTCTGTGTTGCCTAAATGTAAGGAAAGACCNGTGACGTAGCTATCACAATTTTTAGTCATTGTTTATGATCCCACTATTAATCATAGTATTGGTGCTGAAAATGCTCAACACTTTGTGAACATTCAAGGTGTGAGGACACAAGAATTTGTACTATATGCTGCATTTTTTTCTTTCTGGAATTTTACTGTAGAAAGCAAAACATGGCTTGACTCCATGAAAACTCTTGCTGAACGTCTTCCAGAGGCAGCCAATCGTTTGGCATCAAAGAACGAAAAGGAAAGTATGGCATCAACTGGAGGATCAAGCATCAGATTTGTTAACTACGTTGATTTTTCAGATCCCAACTCAGGTATCTTACAGTGTGTAATTTTCTATAATGAAGGAACATCTTCAAAAGAGACATTAGTCTCAATCTGGAAGGATTATTGTAGATTATAAAGTTAACACCATCCCACAGCAATTGGATACACAAGACCTCTGCTTTTGCTAAAGACAGTAGGGAACTTAAGCAAACCAGGAGGGTGATGGAAATGAGGATGTGAAAAAACAAAAGATCTAATTTGCAGAACAATAGCTCAGCACCTGCATTTTAAAACTTTGTACATTTCTTAGCCATCCTTTGCAAAACAACAAGGTGAAATCACCAAAATTTGCATCATCTGCAAACAGAGTCTGTGACGGCAAATCATTTTAATTTCCATTTGGATCTCAACACTACTTTTATACATTATGCTGGAGTTGAGGTGCCACACCATGTGAGAGAGTAAACACATGCAGCCATTTTTGAAATTCTTATTAAAAGTAGAAGTTCATTTTTCAATTGACATCTTCCTTGGTGTTGCTCTCCTGACTACTTAAGGTCCCTAGTAATTTACTACTGTAGGTTCTGCCATCTTAGAATGTGAAGGTAGCTTAGCAACCTGGCTTGCTTGTTCTAAGACTATGGTTACTTAACTTCACTGACATCTTTACAGGCCATATACACTGTATGACCAGCATTCAACGTTGATTGTGGTTGCTTACAAGTGTTGTCAATGATTATAGTGAATATTTCTGATCTTAAATGTTTAGTCATTCACTTAATATCTTAATTATTCATAATGATTACAACTTATGGCATGGTCTAAGGAATAAAATGTAAAGAAAGACTGAAGTGATTTTCTTATTAAGTGGAACTTGCAGTGTTTCACGAAACATTCTTGAATTGTTTTTGTAGATTCCAAGAAATTTGTGGATGATGAAATTTCCAATCGGTAAGAATCATCTTTGCTCTCTACTGGTAATTTATAATTCAACAAACTCGGCGGCAAGTTTCCTCTTTCCCAGTGTTAGAGCATACAATTCATGTAGCTGTGTGGATTCCAAACGTTTGGGGGTTTGATTTCTCATGGGTAGGTTCAGTGTTTTCCTTGTTTTGCTCATGAAAAAGAAAAACACTCAATAATGTTCTAATTTGGTATAGCCCCAACATAACACCAACAAGTAAACATTATCATACTCATGTTCAATAGCATTGATTTATGCCTGTGTTGCTCTTAACCACAATGTGATAAAATCTAATGGGAGACAGTAACAGGAAATTTGGGCGATTAAAAAACAAAAAACGGAATCTGCAAGGTATTTTTCAAAAGTCCTTGGATTTGGCAGGCATGTGCATAAATTTGAATAATGAAAATTGGGTTAACCTGAAATTTCTTCGTGTTTAATTTTTAGTTCATCAGAGGACCAAGAATCATTAGAATCAGAAGATAGCTTGTCTGTAGAGGTTCATCTCGTTGAAAACATTACATCTGAAGGTGGAATACGTGCAGTACCTTCTAAGCAAGATTTAAATCACTTCACAAAGAGGTAGAATCATAGTTGAAATTCTCTTTTGATTTCTGAATAAGTTTATATAGTGAACCCTTGTGTCAATCAGAAATTACGATTGCTTAAAATATGTTGTACCAAGCAGATTTCTCATTCATTGGCTTCAATTTTAAGCCAGCTCGTTACTGTTTTACTCTCATAAGAAAATAAAATGTTAGGTAATCTGAAAATTTAAAAAAAAAAAAAAAACCAAAGCATTCATTTGGATTTTCTTTTTTTTGTAAGATGCTCTTCCTTGAATTTTGATGAAGTGTTGATAGCACTAAACAACAGACTACTGGAACCAATTACTGAAGTTCAATTGGTAGGAAAATTAATCAACTAATAAGATATGTGTCTATTATGAAATTACTTAAATTATTCATCAAAAAAGTGTTTAGTTAGGGAATACATAAAGATGTGGTATATGTATCACCAAAAAGGAAATATACAAACACATGATATATTATGGAATGGAGCCCAAGGCACAAACTCCTTGTAGCATGTACCAATATTCCATATTGAATAAGCGACTTTGCTCTAATTAGCACCCTCCCCCAAATAAGTGCCTTACCCTTTGGCCATGATATCAAACAAGGGCCCTGCCCAAATAAGCACCCCCTCGGTTTCTTAAATGAACTAGGGATACAAGGAAAACCTGTTTCTGTTGCCTATTTATTTATGATATCCTTCTAAAGAGAGCTCTCAGGCAGTATTGTAAAGTTATTTTTTCTTTTATTATTACAGAAATCATTACATGTTTTGGAACATCTTTTAAAAAGTGATATTTCCTGTGTGGCCTCAAGAATGTCTCGATTTTGCACAAATTTGGAAGAAATTACTAAATCAGAAAGTGGTAGTGTTTTATCTAAGGCTACAAAGGTGAGCAGATCAGATAAATTTACTTAATAATGCGTGGTTTACTTTACAAAATATCAAGGGAACTGATGTGGATTGTACTCACTCATAAACAATTTTTTTTAAATTTTTTAGATCTTGTATTTAATGAATGCAAAAACAGAAAAAGAGAGAATTCAAAAAGGTAGGTATAATTTGTTTGATTTTGATCACAGATTTTGTTATACACTGAAGTGCAAACTTTCATAAAAGAAAAACACTAATTAAAATGTGTAAGAGATAGAAAAACAAAGAACAAGGAAAAACAAAACAAGATTACCATATGCTTTCATCTGTGACCTTTATTCAGGCTGTTATTACTCTGAGCCAGTTTTGTAAGTCTTACACAGAGGGGGGGGGGGGTATGCAAGGATATGCAAGGTAAGGTCAAAATGATGCAGTGCAGGGTTACCCCAAGGGTGATGGCATTTTATCCAAGTAGTAATGGTACCTCTTTCTAAGACAGACCTAATAGTTTATGATCAAAGACACTCTGTAATGATCTAGATCTCTTTGAGGTATTTGTTCATTTGAGGTTAAACTTTCTTGTGAATTGAACTCTTTTAAAGCTTGTTTTTTGTTGCTTTTCAGATGTTCGATTTTCAGTTGAAGAGAGAGACGTTCCAGAGGTAATGGAGCCATAATATTTTTCTAATGTAATTTTTCTTCTTTTTTTTCCCTTCATATGTTCTTATTACTTTGACCCAAAAGATTCTTAGTTTACAGTCAAGGAGCTATAAACTAATCAAAGTGGAAAGCATGTAACACAATCATGTGAGACAACTCTGTTAGAGGGTCTGCAACTTACAAGCTACACTAACAGACTGATTTCATTTCAGGACATTGCTCCTATTCAGCAATCCTTTCTTTCACCATAATTATAGGCCACTTTCATAAATGGCTGCCAGATTAATATTCTTTTGTTTAAACTTAAATTAGCCCTTCTGGCTTCGTTCTCCAGTAGAAAATTCAAAAGAGTACATTATCTCAAGCGAGGCCAGAAGGGCAAATTTAAATTTAAACAAAAGAATATTAACCCAGCAGCCATTTATGAAAGTGGTCTATGAAACAGAGTTGAACAAACCCTTCAATTCTGCCCTCTCAGTTGGTAATCTTTCTCTTCTTTTTTTATCTTTCAGGGTGGAGAATCTTTAGACTCCACACTTCATTCTAAAGCAGATCAAACTCTTACTCTATTTTCTGGAATGAGTTTACATTCGGTAAGACCAAAACTACTCAGATGATTATCAACTAAAGCTTATGAAATAAGTGTAGTAATCAAACAACAACAAACATATGAAACATATGTGTGAACTGCGGTTATGAGACGTATAGGTCAGTGGTTCGAATCCCGTACAGGCCTGAAATTTTTTTCAGGTCTGATTTTCACTATTGCTCAAATAGTGCTTTACTGCGAAGGATCGTGCTCATATACGTAAGTGTAGTAATGTTTCTATTTCAATTACAGCAGACAGATACCACCAAGTTATCCGCACTATTTGATTCTAACACTACTGGTCCAGAGAAGAGATCTTCAGAGGGAAATCTGGATGTCTTCCAAGGACTTGATTTTTCAAGTGGGAGTGACACCTCTAGAAATAGCAATAATGCAAATCAAAGATCTAAAGGAGCTAAATCAGACTTTGAGGATTTCTTTTCCGTCAAAGAGGATATCACACGATCAGCCTCGGTCAAAAAAGCCAATGGCCGAGAAGCCGCTAAGGACAGCGTGACAGATCTGTTTGATCCATTACTCATCGACAGCAAGAATTCTCCTGGAAATCATGTCACACAATCCAATTTAACTTCAATTGTTGAAGTAAGAAAACACCACAATTTCAACTCACAGAGAAACGTTCTAGAGGATCCGCAACTTGTGAGCTACGGAAACAGTGTGATACCACCTCAGGATAACATTCTAAGTCCAATGAACTCTTTGAATGTAAATACCGCCGCCTCTGCCTCAGTGAATTTCACAAGTGGTTCACAAATTTGCCGGAATTCAGACGATTTGTCACACAACAGAACTTCACCGCCAAATGTCACGTTGCCTACCAGCGGAGCGCAGAGAACAAATCGGCGATCTTTACAATTTCCTTATAGCCACCATCCAGTCTTTCAACAGCCTGTTACAAGTAGTGCGTCTTCAATCCCTCTAAGACTTCCTAAACAGTCGAGTCAAAGAACCGATTTTAGTTTTGTCGGAAAATCCGGTAGGGCAGATGCGTTTAGTTTTGTCAAAGACGAGATGAAAGCAAGGAAATAGATTCAGAAGTAAATTGATTTTGTCGCGAAAAAAAAAAAAATGTCAGTGACGAAAATTTGTAAACATCGTAGAATGCATCGAAGATATGGTTGAATATTTTAAAGAAAAGAAAAGGAGTAGTTTATGTACGGTGAGAATTAAATAAATTCTATTATATATTTTTATATTATAACTTTTGTCTGAATTGAAAGTAGAATGAAGCACTTTAAGATGCTTAAAAAAATAATGTTTAGCTTTTGCGGCTTCCTCATGGCTCCCTACATGTGGCGCGCGCCTATTTATCTGCGTGCCTGCCACGCGCGCGATGAGGCTCTGCTAATAGAAGTTATTTCTAGCTTTTATTTCTGGCCGAGATGCAAATTACTCTTTTCCTATTTTAAAACTAGAAATGTCACTTTGTGGTAAACTCTCCTTCAGTAAAACTTTTTTCTAAGAACTAATATATATATCTTATTAACTAAGCGCGAGGGCCGTACTGGGAGAATATCGGCCCGAGGTCTTGACAGTACGGACCGAGCGGAGCGAGGTCCGTACAAAAAAGACCGAGGGCCGATATTCTTCCAGTACGGTCCCGAGCAAGCTTGGTTAATAAGAGATTTATTATACGACTGAAGTTCAAAGGGACACAAGTGCGGTATCATTCGGGACCATTCGGGACAGTGCCCGGTCCAATACTTAGAGAATATTGGACCGGCAATAGAGCATTTTGATTGGTTGATTTTAGTTATTGGCCCTCTGACTGCCCGAGTCGTGTAATAAGATATATGTAATGTTCTTCTCTCGTCTCTGAGAACTAAATATCAGATATTTCAGATCGAGACCCCGTGAAAAAGATTATGACAGAGGATTCCGAATTTCGAACAATCTCACAAGCGGACAAAGATTCGATATTT